TGCAAGCGAGATACATTTTAGTTCCTTAGACTGGAATAGCTATGGTTTTCTAAGCTCAAGGCCATCTGCTGCTTACAGATACAGCCCACTGAAGATGGCCCCATGGGACTGCATATTCATCTACTGCTTAGCAACTTTCCTCCTGGTTTTAAATGCTGTGAATATATCTTGTCAACATCTACTAAGAACTCCGATCATTCCTACAAAACCTCAATTACATTCCATCCATGGAAATTATATAGCTAACTATTCTAACAAAAATAACCCTAGCTGAAGAAGCTGAGACCATTGAAGATGTCAGCAGCTACTCAGAATCAATTTCTAGCAGTTGTCATTTCTTTTTTGGGGGTTCTTGTACTCAGGAAGTGTTCTTTCCATCAGAGCAAATTATGCTTACAGTGAAAAAAACCAAACACAGTGTAAATATTTTTTGTCAAGTATTGCATGTTTCATTTGCTTAAAGTGTAAGATGCTAGCTGGTTCATTGCTGAGCCTGTCTGGTAGCCCGAATGAATGCTGGGTCATCTCTGCTGCGTGTTTGCTCCAGCCGCTGACTTGACGTGCATCGCTGGTGTATGAATTGTAGTAATGCACGTTTAATTCATCCTGCCCATACAGTCTGTCTGCTGGACACAGGACTGTTTTCAGTTCCCTCCTTCCAACCGTCTGCCAAATCATTTCAGAATACATTCTTTCCTACGCCCCGGCTCTCAAACCATTTGGAGCAAAGTCCCTCACCTATCGTGGAGAGACTACTTCTGCCATAGTGGATGGTCTGCAGCCTGGGGAACGCTATCTTTTCAAAATCCGGGCCTCAAACAGGAGAGGACAGGGTCCTCAGTCCAAAGCCTTCGTTGTCGCTATGCCAACAAGTAAGCATCATGTCTTCCTGGCTCTGTCTTGTCATTACTGCTATTTGTTTTGTGTTTCTTTGAATCATGGTCTTGGGTGTCGAACTTCTCGATCAATGATTTTTAGGGCTAAGTTTGCATATTGATTTTGAAAAGACTTGTATGTGGATTTTTAAAAATATTTAAAAATCTAATCCCCTTACAGTCTCCCACAAAACTCAAATGCTGGTGATTGCCAATGGTGATCTCCTATCAGTGTCAATTTGAGGATTACTGTTTTAGGGAAATGACCTTTCTTAGAAGTGAAATGTGACATTTTAAATTATGACCCTGCTTAATATGCTCTCTTCAACTGCTAAATTGTGTTTTACACTTTTGGTTTCCATTCCATTGTTCTGGGGAGAATTCTGTTACCTAGTTTATCTGATCAGTATGAAAACCAAATAGATTAAGAAAGATCCTAAAATATGTGTGGGGGTCTTTTTTGTACTGTTTTCTTTTTTTGTTTCTTTACATTTATGGTGAAGACTCACCAGCACATCCCCTAGTTGTGTGCTGTGTGGACCCACCATTTACCGCAATGTCCACCAACTTTGTGCTGGAAAAAACAGAAATAGGTGAACCTTGCTTCCTCTACATCCCGCATTGTTATGTAAATTTCCTCCCCTATACCTCCAGCCCTTTTCCCTCAGTCAATCTCCTCTCAAGAGTCAGTTCTAGGCATGTTTTAGGAGTAATGTTTTGCCTATCCAGGAATCTTTTTAAGTCATAGTATGGAATTTCAAATTTGCTCATTGTTAAAGGAATTTTAAGCAAGAGGAAGGAGGCAAGGGCTGAAGTATTAGGAGGACAGAGAAGTCTTTGTAAAGTACCAGAAATTACACATTTTTTGCTCACCCAATCACTTGTAAGGCAGACTCAGCATATTCCCAACAAAGAGTAGATCTTGCAATGCTGTGTGCCAGGCTTAGACATATTTCTTGCCTACACTGCTCAGAATAGCTACAGGTCTTACGTAATATACTGACAATTAGTTATGTGAAAGAAAAATCTCACCTAAGATTTTGCATTTAAAAAATCATGAAATTATTTTAAAGTACTCGTTTCAGAATTCCTTCAAAGTTGTTACATAAACTTAATTCAATTTACAGAGATTCAACTCCCACATATTTTCTAGGAATATGTCTATGAGTTAGAGCAACATAAGACCCCAGAGCAAAATATAACTTTTCCAGAAATTATGAGAAGTAGGAAAATAAGTGTCCAGTGTTCTATGGGGTTAAAAGCCATCAATTACAACGAGCCATGTTAGACTTTTTCCCCAGTGCCACTGTAAGCACTTTGTGTTGCACAGCTTTTGAGTTTCTTATCTGAAGGTAACTTCTTTCAAATTTGTTGCAGTCAGGACGGCTGAGTCAGCTGTTGACCAGAAGGCAGACATGGAGGATGATTCCAAGCCTGAAAAACCCAAGCCTTCACCATCTTCTCCCAAAGTCTCAGCTTCCTCAAGACACACTCACTTGCCTGTTTCTCCCCACAGTGGAAATGCCAAGAACCTTCTTCTTGACTTGAAGAACAAAATATTGGCTAATGGTGGGATTTCCAGAAAGTCCCAGCTCCACCCAAAAAAACCTGAAGATTTGGACCTTCAGTCAACTGAGGTCAGCGAGGAGGAGATGGAGCACCGGTCAGACCCACCCACCGCGTCCTCCCAGACCGCAGACCAAAGGCGCACGCTGAGGCCACCACCTCCCAGTAGGTCTTTCCCTGCTGCCTTCATTCCTGGGAGGACTGTGGTTCGAGCCCAGGCGCAACCCGAAAGGAGGACATCCCATTCTGGGGGCCTGGAGGAAAACCAGACCGTTCCAGGCGCACCCTCAAGACTGTCTCCGCTCGGGGCCTCGACTAGGTTGCTGCCGTCTGAACCGCGAGCTGGCTCTCCACTCTCCAGGGGCCTGAAAGACGGCCAGGACGCGCGGGCCACCAGTTCCAATGCACCCTTACTGTCCACAACGGCTCCCACAGCCTCTCGTCTTTCCTCCAGGACACAGATCTCTGATGGCGACAGCGACACTGACAATGATGCAGAATACAGAGCCAGGCAGACAGAAGCCACTGCCCCCACACTCCGGGCCCGGCTACCAGCAAGTCGCCCTGTCTCTGGACATCTGAGTTTTTTCAGAAACAGGCCCTTTGGCGCCAACGGTAGATATCCAAACAGGTTTGGCAATGGCCGTGGGTTGCGGTTCCAGCCTTCCGCTGACCCCCAGTCCACCATGTCCTCCCGAGTGACCTCCAGGGTTAACTCTCACCCAACCTCCAGTCAGAGGCTTGGCGCAAGCACCCAGGGACGTGAGGAAGAGAGGGACGCGGAGGGGGAACAGCCGCTGCCTGCCACCACTGTGGACGACTTCGAGCCCTCCTCCTCCAGGCAGCCTGCCTCCCGGGCGCCGGACCACCTCCGAAGGGTCCTTCAGAGAGGGCCCAGCGTGCCCCGGAAAGAGTCTCTGTCGGGATACCCCAAATCCGCGGTGGCGTCTCCCTCCGCTTCGGCAGAAGCGCCTTCTCAGGGCAAGTTGGCGTCGCTGCCCTCGAAGGCCCAGGACGTTCAACACAGCTCAGACACGAAGGGCGATGTCCTCCAAATACAGCCAGTGGCCTCGGGGCGCCAGCCTTCCCTGGCGCGGCCACAGCCCAGTGTCCCCAGAAGGACGGTCCCCGGCCCAGGTCTGGGCGCCAGGGCTGCCGCCTCCGAGAAGCCACCTTCCCCACATCGCCCCGTGTCCCAGCACCAGCCCGGGGGTCACCAGGACAAGGGCTCGGGCCACACACTCTCCAAACCCGGGCAGGAGCCGCCTCAGCCACGGGCCCGCCAGCCCTCCTTTGCGTCCTCTCCGCAGGGTCGGGACGCGGAGGCCGAGCACGACTTCAACCGAGGGGACAGCTCGGAGGAGACGGCCCCGGCCCTCTCCAAGCACCGCCAGCTGGAAGGCCCGGGCTGGCTCCCCAAGGCCGGCCGCTCCCCGCCGACGCCGCGACTCCGGCTCCCCGGCCGCGCAGGGCCCCCGGCGGGGGGAAAGCACGGCG